ACTGACAATACGATATGCACTGTGAACTGTCTGGCTCGTAGGAGTAATGCAGTTTAGTCTGTAAATTATTATTATTTTTATTATTATTAGTAGTAGTAGTAGTAGTATTTAAGGATATCTTTAGAACTTTTCGTCTTCATTTTGATTATTTACAAATTTGTATACAATTGATATAAATATTTATACCATAACTGGTTACAAATGATATAGTATTGTGATGATGCACCGTACGGGTTATCAACTAAATTTACTGTAGTCACTGATAGATATTTTTATGATTTTTGTTTTTAGCTTGTTTTTTTCGGCTAGCATTGTAAATATTTTCGATGGAAAGAGGAAGGCAAAAAACTAAAGACTCGGGTGTGACTGACAACATTCCATTGACATAATATTGCAACCCTTCCTCAATTAGCTTTGTGTAGCTTTATCCTGCTCCTACACACACACACACTTAGTAAAATATGGACATCATGCACTGTACGTGAAGAGTTTTCTCTCTCTATCTCTCTGGTGACGCTGGGGATGAAACTTGTTAGGAACAATGTTAAATCGTTAGCAATTTATAAAGACGGATGGTGGTGGAAATAACGGTAGATTGTGATTGTAGTGGTGGCGCTTGGTAGTGACATGAAGATGGTAGTTGTGGCGACATGTAGGGATAATAACTGTGGTGGGAGGTGGTGGTAATGGTGCCAGTGATGGTTGGTTATCGTGGCAGATAGTGGTGGTGCTGGTGGTAGCAGGTGTGGTCTGCCAGAGCGAAGGTGGCGTGACGTGACTACCCCCCCCCCCTCACCCCCAACCGTCACCCCAAGGACCATCTTCCCCCTCCCTCCTCCACTACCCCCACCATCCCACTACCTCCCACTTGTCTGAGACGTCTCTATTTTTTCTCTCAATGATGAACTAGGTTGTTTTTGCCTGTTCTTTAAGAATTGTCTTACCAACTTGATTGTGACCTATTTCAGAGAAGTTAAGAGTTGGTTTAAAACACAGTTTAATAAGTTTAGTTATACTGTACTCTTGCATAGGACATAATGTTTTAATTAAAATAAGCGAAGAATAAGTTCCCCCGCACACACACACACACACGAAATATATACAGACACACTGTATGCTAGGATTTATATGCATGTGTGTCTTCTGTGCACATATTACTTGGGTCATGTAAGGATCAGTTTGATGTCTTCATGGGTGGTGGTTGCTATGATTTTTGTATGTACAGTATAACTGGCCATAATCACCTCTCTCACACTCTCTCTCTTACATATATAAGCAAATTTTTCCAAGAAGTAACAATGAGAATAGCTCTTAAGCCTAATGTGTGTTTGCCTCTAAGATTACAGTGTGTTTAAAACGTTTCACGAAGCATCTACCAATTTATGGCATAATATTCAGAACAGGTAGTTCATAGAAAACCAGAGTTACACCATAAATAAAAGTTTAGAATTCCAGGGCGGTGGTGCAAACGTGGCTAAATTGGTCCCATGATGCAGCGGTGGATAGGTAGGAGGGCCAGCCAAACAGCGTGCTTCATTTCTAGTTTAAATTCCCGTTTAAATTGTTTAATCGCTTGTTAATAGAAGTAGATTTTGAGGATTCCTTCTCACATGATGTTCGTGGGTGTAATAAGCACGCATGATTATGCTTAAGGCTCCTAGATTTACTTAAATTTGGGAATTTTCTGGTGAGTTCTGGAGGAGGTTTGCGTCATCAAGAGGGGGAAGAAGGGCGGGGGAAGATGTGGCCTCCCTTCAGTCGTGATCTGGTGGTGCCCGTGCCAACCAACACCCCTCGTACTCACTGAGGGGAATACACCAGCAGGCTATACAATTAGTAATATCCCCTTCCCTCGTCTGTCATTTGGAGTGAGAACCGTATGACGGCAAAAACTCGTACGACACAACGACCAGAGTACGACACTTGGCGAGCAAGAGTACGATACTTCAGTAAACTATAATAATACGATACTTACCGTTGATTAGTTTTTTGTGTGTTACCAGACGTTTCCTTGAAAAGAAAGGTGGAAAATAGTATGAAGAAAAAAACCTGCTTCTATTTTACATGTGAATTTTGAAATACAGGTTAAATAGTTTGAAAACTGCTTATATCGAAAAAAATAAGGTATTTTACCAGTGTGCAGCTTTGGTGATAAATATGGACTGCGAGAACTTTTTTTCCAAATTTTGTACATAGATAATAAGCTTCACACTAGAAAATTAAAAATACTCTAGAGTATTTATTATATGTGTGAATGACTGAGTATTTTTCAGTCAGATGCTGAGTGACATTGATAGTTTGTCTTAATTAAAGCATCATCATTTATCACCGGGAAAGTGAATGATTCCATAAGGCAAGTTACCAGTACATTGATACCGTACATTAAGTACGGTGGTGGAGTATGTACCTGGACTGACATGGTGCTCGGGACATGCACATATACTGTACTGTTTTGTGCGCTGATAGATAACGTTCGAGAGTTTTCACCGCTTAAGGCAGTTAGCATATATTTCTGTCACTGCAACTATTAATCTTGCACAAACCACAAGTTGTTTCTTTCTTAGTTTTAATTACGCCACTTTACAGTTCTTATTGCTGTTGATCTCAAGAAGAGTTACTGATTTTCTTGAGTGTGCATGCATTTGTCGACCTATGAAGGTATTTCATTCGATTATTATCAAGAATAGTAATGAGCTCCCCCGGCGGCGGCCACCAAACATAGTGCTCACACTAGTGCACCACCGAGCTCTGCCAAGTGATCTCCACTTATCCAACCTCTTATTATACCATATTTATATAACGAGAGATAATTCATGCTAATCCGCTTTCATGAATGTTTTTTTATATAAAATAAAATACTGACAAGTACATATTCCCAAAATGGTTATGATCGAGGAACCTCTTGCACGAGATGCCTTTTGGGGCCCATCTGACCCTGAGGGCGAGAGAACGTCATACGACCTTATGTTTCTAGAATGGCATCTAAATATTGAGGTCAGGTCCTTCCCGTGCTCGGGAGGAGAGTGAGTGAGCGGGCACGACCCACCCTCGGGCCGCCTGCCAAGCTACCTACCAGGTACCCGCCTCCCGCTTCTAGAACAACCCACACCGTCGACACTCTCCCCTCGCCCAGCCGACACGCACACATCCGTGAAATATTGTTAACCGTGCTTAATACGCACCCAGTGTTGGAGTAGGCGAACCTGGTAAACCCCTAAAGGGATAAGAAGTTGTAGGTACGGAAGAATTGGTACATATTATGCATCATACAAGGGATGTTTATCTAAGAGGGCGAGTGTGTCTCTTGAGACAATTGTGTTAAGTGTTCATCAGTAGTTTGGCTTTGGGAACATAAAGTAAATGCATATAATTATGACTGGTATTTGCTGGCGGCGGTGTTAATTACCTTCCACTGTCGAAAGTTTATGAAAATTTTAGCTTCTCACAAACAAATGAACGGAAAGAAATTACAAGCCAGTATCCTTGTCAGAATTATTTTTTTTTGAAGGAACTGAAGTTACTGTAACGTGAGGTGTATCTTATAACAAAGATTAATAACAACGTAGTAGGCTGATATCATAGAGTAAAATATATGGTGTAATTAGTATTTTATATTGACATTTAACAACGAATCTTAAGACAAAATTAATGACTGTGGGACGTGCCAGTGTTGTTATTGTATGTTAGTATGTAATTATTGTCGTGTCCGTTAAGTATCAACCGTTTTTCTCTGATTACTGTTCTTCCATACTTGGTGTAACGTACCAAGGAATAAAGGCAGAGTTCGATTTTGAATTTGATGGTACGTACCTATCAGCGTAGTCATGTACTGTATGTGTGGTACCTATCAGTGTAGTCATGTATGTGTGGTACCTATCAGCGTAGTCATGTTTTTGTGATTCCTATCAGTGTAGTCATGTGTGTGGTACCTATCAGTGTAGTCATTTACGTGTGGTACCTATCAGTGTAATAATAATATTAATAATAATTAACGGTTTATTGAAAAAATTCTGCAGCCCGAAGGCTGAAAATATACATTGGACATAAATGACTTATTACATACATTGGTGGTTTAACAAAAGCCTTCATTAGAGAAAGGTAAAGGAACATACAGTGAACATACAGATTAATGTAGGTGTTGAACAGCAAACTCGTAGTGTAGTAACTCCCTCCCAGATGGTGTTAGGAGGAACTCACGCGGCGTAGTAGTTCCCTCAGATGGTGTTATGAGAGACCTGGCGTGGTGTAGTAATTCCCTCGCAGATGGTGTTATGAGGGGCCTCACGTGGTGAGTAATTCCCTCACAGATGGTGTTATGAGGGACCTCACGTGGTGTAGTAATTACCTCACAGATGGTGTTATGAAGGACCTCACGTGGTGTAGTAATTACCTCACAGATGGTATTATGAGGGGCCTCACGTGGTGTAGTAACTCCCTCACAGAATGGTGTTATGAGGGGCATCACGTGGTGTAGCAATTCCCTCACAGATGGTGTTATGAGGGGCCTGACGTGGTGTAGTAACTCCCTCACAGATGGTGTTATGAGGGACTTCACGTGGTGTAGTAATTCCCTCACAGATGGTGTGATGAGGGACTTGACGTGGTGTAGTAATTCCCTCACATATGGTGTTATGAGGGACATGTGGTGTAGTAATTCCCTCACAGATGGTGTTATATGAGTGAGGTTTGGTCTTAGGCCTTCCTATCGTAGACGGATTGCTGGTTGTTGTTGGGTCTCACGGGCCGTTATCACTGGGTACCTGGGACCTCACTGTGTGAAGGTTAACTTGGGTAGGACTGTTACTGTTGAGTTGTTCTCACTGACTTAAGCACTGTTCACCTCTGTTTAACACTGGTTCCGTTCCTTTCCTAAATGAAATTGTAACTTCTGGCGAGAACTTGTTGATATTCCGGTGGGGAGGAGGGTTCAGGGGAGGGGGTTGGTATGGGCCAACTTAACAGTTGACCTGGCTGCTCCAAGAGGAGCGCCAGGTACGTCTTGACCCTTCGGTGGTCAAGGATGTAGTGTAGTCATTTACGTGTGGTACCTATCAGTGTAATCATGTTTGTGGTATCTCCGTGTAGAGGGATGTTCATGTGGTACCTATCAGTGTAGTCAAGATCGTGTGGTATCTACCAGTGTAGTCACATTTGTGGTACCTATCATTGTAGTCATGGTCGTGTTGCAACTATCAGTGTGGTACCTATCAGTGTAGTCATGTTTGTGTGGTACCTATCAGTGTAGAGTTGTTTGTGAGGTACCTATCAGTGCAGTCATGGTCGTGTGGCAACTATCAGTGTAGTCATGGTCGTGTAGTGCCTATCAGTGTAGTCATGGTCGTGTGGTGCCGATCAATGCACTTACAGTATGTTTGTGTAATACCAATCGGTGTAGTCATGTTTGTATGGTACCTATCAGTGTAGTCATATTTGTGTGGTAACTATCAGTGTAGTCATGTTTGTGTGGTAACTGTCAGTATAGTCCAATTTCTTGCTCGTGTCAGTGTTTTCTTTCACAATCGTAGCGAACACACAGTCAAGGGAATCCTACATACGATCTAAAGTTGATGTGTTAGGCTGAAAATTTTTAAGTTTCTGCTTTGACATTTCGACACATGAGGCTTCTTGGTGGGATGTGGGTTTTCCCGTGCTAGTCCGGTGAAGGTGTCGAGTTGGCTCATTCAGTACAGGCTCCAGTCGACGCAACTTTCCAGCCAAGTCGATGATGTCACTGTTTACAATACTTTTCCCGCCTCATGACAGCACCACAAAACCTGTCTAGACCTCTCAGCCTTGATAGTTATTTCATGCAAAGCTCAAGCGGAGAACAGATATACGCGCCTGTAAGTTTGGTGTATTTAGGTAATAGCTGGTACCGTGTGGTAATGTTGAAGGTGACAAGTCAAAACTGATGGATTCGTTATGCACCGGAGACGTTGGCCTAGATCGCCAATCGTTCTCAGTACTTGAGAGCGTTTAGTTTACTGAGCACAACATTTTCAGCCATTATATCTCCCTGGTTTATTTCATGATTTATATATTTATTTATTTTCCATTCTTGGGAAACATTCGTGATTAACTTATTTATATTTTGAAGGCATGTATCCATTTTTTTTCGGAATGTGAAAACTGTCATAATTTTTTAATCTTGCGGTGACGTCTGGTGACACACCTCGCCCTTCCTCCCCTTCACCTCACTACTCTACTGCTCCTGATCTTTACTCTGACAGCAGGTTGTTCAGTGCATGGGATAGTGTATAATAACGCTACGACAAAGGGCTGTGAATACGTCACTAAAAGTTGTGTGTGACTAATACACTGGAATATATATACATATGACAATATCCTGAAGCCAATCAGTATATCCCCGGGTTGAGCATAAGCAACTTGTGCACAAGGACAGCCACTTGCTCTAACGCTACGCTACCGCTATGTGGCCTTCACACATCGCCAAACCTCTCAAGCGAGCTCCAATCAAAAGATCGGTAGGTCATTCATGGCTGTCATAACCCATACAAAAAAAAAAATATATATATATATATATATGCAAGTAAATCACTGTAGGTGCGCGTGATCCAGGTATATGCTGATAACCACAAGGAAAGAGAAAACACGAAGTTCCCAAGCGCTTTCGTGTAATTCACATCTTCAAGGGTGAGTACAGACTAAGGAGAAATACTTGACAAGGCTAATATATACAGTAGAGGAGAGTGAGATCAAGTCCCTGGGGGACAGTAGGTGTCCACAATGTTCTGGTCATAAGGCAGTGACCCTTACTAATCTTCTTAATCAAAAAATTGACCATGCCATCATCTCTAAGCACAGCAGCTGTCCGTAGTCAGGTCATAGGGTAAGATGACACAACCTTCTCACCTGGTTACAAATCTTCTTAATCAAAAAATTATCCAGTTTGTACATACCATTACTCAAATTCATGTTGACAGATTCGGTATGTTTAATGAGACTGGATTCTATAATGTTCCTACTGACAATTGAATTACAAGGCAATATTGAGGAGGCATTATCCCAGTCAGTGCAATGTTTATTATCTCTCATATGAATGAACAGAGCATTGGATTCCTGGCCTGTCCTAGCACTATATTTATGCTGTTAAAGTCTAGTTTTAAGATCCTTACCCGTCTGGCCCAAGTAGAACATATTAGGAGTAATGATAAGTAGGAATCTTAAGCCAAGTAAACAATGTGTGTTTGCTCGAAACAGCTAATAACGTACTTGGGTTCATACAAAGGAGTGTTAGTTACAAGACTAGCGAGGTCATCTTAAAACTATATCTTGCTGTTATGAGACCCCACTTGGATTACGCAGTTCAATTCTGGTCACCGTATTACAGAATGGATATAGAATCCTTGGAAAGAATTCAGAGGAGAATGACAAGACTAATTCCGGGCATTAGGAACCTTGAGTACAGAGACAGGTTAAAGCCTCTTAATTTACACTCCCTCGAGAGACGTAGAGTGAGGGGCGATATGATCGAGGAGTATAAATGGAAGTCAGGGCTGAACAAAGGGGACATTACAAAGGTACTCAAACTATCCAACCAGGAGGGAACTTGTGACAATGGTTTTAAATTAGACAAATTTAGATTTAGGCGCGAAATAGGTAAACATTGGTTTGGAAATAGAGTAGTGGATGAGTGGAACAAGTTACCAGATATCATCATTAACTCGAATACGCTGGATAGCTTCAAACAGAGGTTGGATGGATATATGAGCAATAGTTGTTGGGTGTAAATGGGACTGCCCAGTATGGGCCAATAGGCCCGCTGCAGTTTTCTCCATTCTTATTTTCAAGGAACCTTGTAAATGCAGCCGCCTGCATTGTTGGGGGAGTTCTTAATTAATTTACATTTGTTTTACATTGCATGAGTTTTTAAATGTCACATTAACGTTCCAGGTTTTCAGTTGTATAGGAATATGAGAATTTTTTTTGTTAAATGGTAATACTAAGAGATTCTTATTGTCATGGGTTGGCTTTGGATCAGTTCTTTAAAAAAAATTCTTAGTGATGTTAAGGCATTTGTCTATAAAAGACCTAGAGTACTTAAGGTTCAAGTCAATATTATAGATATATTTATATTCCTCATCAATGAATTCCGGACTGCATATTCTTCGAGCACGTAAAAACATTGATGAAAATACTGACTGTTTGACTATTATGGTGGACAGAATAATAATGGATGTATGAACACACATTAGTAGGTTTCCTATAAATACTGAACTGAAAGGTGTTACCTATTCTGTGGATCAGAACAGTCTAGGAATGGTAATTTGCAGTCATTCTCTAATTCCACAGTGAATTTGATCGAGGGGGCCTTGTCAATTAGTATTACTCCTTAGTCTGTACTCATCCCTGGAGATGTGAATTACACGAAAGCGCTTGGGAACTTCGTGTTTTCTTGTTTCCTTGTGGTTATCAGCATATACTTGGATCACGCACACCTACAGTGAATTACTTGCACACACACACACACATATATATATATATATATATATATATATATATATATATATATATATATATATATATATATATATATATATATATATATATATATATATATATATATATATATATATATGCAAGTAATCTAATATTAATAAATTACTCTTGTTGATCCATTCGTATTTTTGAAGTGTTTATACTTAAACATATGTTACTGCTCCATCCCAGCAAGTTTAATAATTGAGTGTTAAGAAATTAATAGATTTATATTGTGGATGTTTAGTGTGGGAGATACACGTGCTCGGGCGTATTTGGCCAATCATATCTGCTCTCAATTGACGTTCCCTCAGAAGCAAGAGCAAATCTATTATATAATATATAAATATATTTCTTTGTTTCTTTGGCAAACGCAGTATCTTGTCCTTGCCAGATTTCTATTTCTCTTTGATTCAGTCGAGAATTTACTGGACACAACGATATGTGTACAATGTGGTAAATGCGCCTGCATTCTAGCTTTTTTTGTGAAAAATTTAGAAATACCATTTTTTTTATTAGTGCTCAGAATGTAGGCTACCCTTTGTAAATAAATGGAATCCGCGTGTATTAGTTTATATACTGTAGTCTGTATTTCATATAGGGTGGCTGGGTGTGCTTGGTGAAGGAGGGCGGGAGGTGCTTGGTGAGGATGGGCGGGAAGTGCTTGGTGAGGAAGGGCGGGATGTTCTTGGTAAGGAGGGGCGGGAGGTGCTTGGTGAGGAGGGGCAGGAAGTGCTTGGTGAGGATGTGGAGGAGGGGCGGAGGTGCTTGGTGAGGATGGGCGGATGTGCTTGTTAAGAAGGACAGGAGGTGTTTGGTGAGGGGGAGGTGCTTGGTGAGGATGGGCAAAGTGCTTGGTGAGGAGGGCAGGATGTTCTTAGTGAGGAGGGGCAGGAGGTGCTTGGTGAGGAGGGGCGGGATGTGCTTGGTGAGGATGGGCAGGATGCTTGTTAAGAAGGGCAGGAGGTGTTTGGTGAGGGCAGGAGGTGCTTGGTGAGGAGGGGTGGGAGGTGCTGGGTGAGGGATAAGCCAGCCGTTGCTTCCACCATCCCAGGTTTCTACATTTCCTCCCCCTCCCTCCACCCCCACAGCCCCTTTGTCTCCCCTCCTTGTTTACCCCTACTCCCCTTAACACTCATGATGATTCGTCATGTCCCATCCCTTTCCTTGACGCCTGTGGGACCCTCCCCTACCACACCTGTACTACCTCCTCCTCCTTCACCACACTGTAATACCCTCCTCCTCCACCACACCTGTACTACCCTCCCCTCCTTCACACACACCTGTACCCTCCTCCCTCCCCTCACCACACCTGTACTACCCTCCTCCTGTGTACTACCTCTCCCACCCTCCCTCCTCCCCTCACCACACCTGTACTACCCTCCTCCCTCCTCCCTCCCTCACCACACCTGTACTACCCTCCTCCCTCCCTCACCACACCTGTACTACCCTCCTCCCTCCCTCACCACACCTGTACTACCCTCCTCCCTCCCTCACCACACCTGATACGAGCTCTCCTGGGTATCAAATTTAGTATAGTATTTAATTTATGGCGTACATTAATAATACATTGTTACCTTGGGTTTAGGTATTTACTTATTATTGCCTCTAAATCTTCCCTCACATTGTCCTGACACTTGACTCCTCCTTCATGAAAAACTAACTGGTACTTATTACCAAGTCTGGAAGAACCAATTTAGGCTTGAGGTGGTTTTATATTATCCGGAAATTCTCTTATTGTTGTACTGAGACGGATACTTGATTATTGAGACGGATACTTGATTATTGAGACGGATACTTGATTATTGAGACGGATACTTGATTATTGAGACGGATACTTCATTATTGAGATGGATACTTCATTATTGAGACGGATACTTCATTATTGAGAAGGGTACTTTATTATTGAGACGGATACTTCATTACTGACTAGTTTCAGGATATTGTGTACCATAATCCCGTATCATGAGTGTTACTGCTGATGACTGTACAATGTTACTCACACCGACAAGTTCCTCATTTTAACTCTTGTTTCTTCCTCAGGCCGAAGACGGCGAAGACTTTGCACGACGAGGTATGGATGACTTGAGGGGCCGACACGCTATGTTCCGCATGCCAACCTGGATGTCTGAAGACGAGGACGTAAGCAACTTGGCAACACGCATGTCCCACGCGCCACACTTCGCCACTATGGGTCGCCGCGGCGGCCCATGGCGCGAGAGACGCAGTTCTGGGGGGTCAGCCATGAGTGCCACCTCCGAGGACGACTCTTGTGACGCTGCCGCCACCGACAAGTCGTCTCAGTGTTCGGGCGGGTCGACTGATAACCCGAGTCAGGAGATACCCATCCGGCTTGAGGCGCCCGCACCGCCATCCTCCACACAGCATCACCAGCAGGAGCAACAACAGCAGCAGCAGGAAAATGAACCTGTAGCGCCGCTCGCCTCTAGAATTGGAGGAGTGAGAAAGAATACTCAGTACCCAGTGCGCACCACATCCGCCGTGGACGCAAGTGACCATTCTGACGACGTACCGCGTACAACACGCTGCGCGTCTGCGCCCCCAGAGATGGCTGACCAGGCTGTACCACAAGATTCTCAGACCCCACCAACACAACAGCGCTTCGTGTCGAAGATCAGTATAACGCCACAAGCGCCTCAGACTCCAGGTTCCCCACAGACAAAGGCCGCACCGTTTTCTCCTCTGCCAGCCAAGTTCAACACGGTGCCCAAACCCTTTGTTCCTGTCGGCAAACAACAACAAGAGACGCAGCAACAGCCACAGTTCGTTGAGCAGCAGCAGCAACAGCAACCAATGTCAGAGCAGCAATGGCAGTACCAACAGCAACAGATGCCGGACTCACAGTGGCAATACCAGCATCCTCAGCAACAGTACCAACAACAGCCCCACCACCAACAGGATCCACAACAGTACCAGCAGTATACCTACCAGCAGCAACAGCCTCCACCTCAGCCACAGCAGCCCACCAGGCAGGGGGGGCAGCGACCCAGTGTCGTCCGCAACATTCCCATCTTCGTTGAGGGCCGAGATGGTCCCATAGTAAACGAGGAGACGAGTAACCAACAGAAACCTCCACCTCAGTGGGGACAATCCAGGCAGCAACAGCCACAGCAGCAGCCGCCACAACAGCAGCAGCCACAGCAACAGTACCAGCCGCAACAACAGTACCAGCCGCAACAACAGCAGCCACAGCAGCAGCCACAGCAGCACCAACAACAGAAGCAACAGAAAATGTTCAGACCACACCCTCACTCTCAGACACAAGCTCCTCCACAGCCTGAACCTATACCTCAACCTGTGCCCATGCCTATGCCCATGCCCATGCCCCAGTCACAGCCACAACCACAACTTCAGGAACATACAGAGCCACAACCTCAGCCCAAGGCTCCGTCCCCCACCAAGGATCCTCGCCTTGCGCAAATCGAGGCCATCCGGGCGTCAGTTGAGGAATTCCGAAGTAAAGTTGACGTCTTCACAGGGACTAAGAACCGAGAGTTCCTCTACTTGGACGAGATGCTGACACGTGCGTTGCTGAAACTGGATAACATCGACCCAGATGGCCGCGACGATGTGCGAATGGCCCGCAGAGCAGTCATTAAAGATATCAACGCCTCTATATCTTTATTAGAAGCCAAAGCCAGCGAAACAGAAACGAAATTGAAGGCCCAGGAACCTGTTGCTGAGACGATGGACACAGAGGCCAGGCAACAACAGGAAGCTGCCGCCGAACAGCCGACGGAAGCTGGTACTCAACAACCCGTGCAGGAAGCGGCCAAACAGGAGCAACCTTCAGAACCTGGCGCAGGGAGCGCCGCGCCTCCCGTAGTGTCCTCTGCCTCAGCGGGAAATATCGACAAAAAGAGTGATTCAGCTTCTGGTGAAAAGATGGAGACGGAGCCACAGGAAGGAACAGCTACCTCAACCGCAAGCCAACCAGAAGGTGGTGAGGTTGTGACCGGTACATAAGACTGTCAGGGTCGTGCTACCTGATGTGTGGTGGCTGTATACAATGTGTGTGTGTGATATGTAAATATATATATGTGTGAGTGTACAACACTAATATATACATTGCTCTAAATAAATGAAAAGTTTTAAGAAATGTTGTGTTGGTTTTTCCTGTGACCAGCTAATGTTACGTACATTGCATCATGCACTATATATATATATATATATATATATATATATATATATATATATATATATATATATATATATATATATATATATATATATATCAAGAACAGTAAACAGCACCATAGTTACACAGTTGGCGGCACAAGACATTGGTACATACGTAGATAACTGGAAGGTTTGTGGGAAATGCCTGCCTGTAACGGAGCGGTTGGCACTGTGCCGGTAGGGCCAGCTAGGCTAGGCAAGTTCCGCGGCACAGTTATTTTGGCACCTTGATAGCTGCTGCTGCTCCCAGGAACTGGTGTGTGAGAAGTAGAGGAGGAGGGGAGGAACTTGGCACACACTCGTACACACTTATCACTAACAAGTGTACCTTTGTTGATACTATTACAAGTGGCACTACACATTCAAGAAGTATAAGTGGGGTTTTGATCTTTGAATTGGCACTCATAGGCACCAACTTCCGGTTACTGGTGGCACCTGGCACCAACGTCAAGCTCTGTTGGCACGTGCTCAAATATCTTACTTCTGACCATATTGAATATGAGAATATTTTTTTTTTAATTTTCATCGTGCTTGTAAATCTTTTTGGCGCCATAAACTTCACATTATCAAGTTACTTCACTGATGCTTGATCTGCATGAAGGTAGAACTGTGCTAATATATGTGCCAGCAGGATGTTGGACACACACACACACACACACACACACGTGTACACACATAATGTTGCTTCTACCTCTTGAACACCTACCTACACACACACACACACACACAAGGTTAAGACTGAACACACCAAGTAGGATTTTCTGTGTTCAAGATGGCCTCGTCTCATACCTAAGAGTTACGAGCACAAAACACTTCATAACAAGACTACTTGTCTTATGATAATGATCTTAACACTAATCGTTCTGTACTAGTTAGTGTTACAGTGTTCCATACAACCTGGAATTACTACAAATGCTCACGTACTGCATTAAGTGTGTGTATGTGTGTGTGCGTGTGTAAAATTACCTTTGTATTATTGGTGAACTGGATATAGTATTCCTATTATGTGATGAGAATGAATTATTGGATTTATATGTAAATAAATACAGAATATAACAGTATAATCTGGTTATGCAAATTAGCCGTGATTAAAACAGCGGTAACCATATATCAATTGCTTATTTTCTCTTCATTACAATGTTTACAGTATATAATGATATGTACGTACAGTATATGACTGAGACCTTATCTCCTTATGTAAAGCTTATTTTGTATTTAATAAGTATGGATCTCGCTGCTACTCGTATTAAGCTGACGTTATTAAAGACGAGACAAGAGTCGGTATATACTGTAAAGGTTTCAGCAGTTATCTGGAGTAACAACTTGTAAATAGGAAAGATTATTTTGTGTAAACTTGACCTTCATGTTGAGGGTGACATATATATCGATAGATGTTGGAGTTGACTATGCAATGTTTCTTCTGAATGTGATATATTATGTACATGTCAGTGACGTATGAGATAGTTGCCTTTTTTTAAGTTATAACGTTTAATAATTTCTTTATTTTTACATTTGCTTAAAGTCAAGAGGCTGTTAAATATAGGTTGTATCATGGTGAATATTTAACTTTTTTTTTTCACGAGCTTTAAAATAACAAGGAATTCTCACTTGTTGTTAGCTACAGTCATGACACAAGCCGCCTGTCTTACCCAAACTAGTGACTGGTCAGTGTTTGTTTATCATATGATGGAAGAAAACGTCCCCCAGAAGCAGAGGGGCTACTATTAAAATTTGATAGGCGGTGTTTATGCTATTATTTCTCCATTTTGTAAATAGAAAAAAAGTGTCTATATAAATCCATATTTCTAGATAACTGTGTGCATGATGGTGTGTGATTTGTAGGTGAGAGTAAATAATGACACTTTTTTATGTAAATATGTTGAAAGATAGTCTTAGGTTCATCCTGGAATATACAAGATAGATGATATAATAATCTCGATGTAAAAGATCTATTAGGAACTATTTGTGTATTGATGTGTAAATAATTGATCACGGAAGGCACACTTTAATTTATTTACTGTGTTGTGTGAGGAGGAGAATGAGGATTAAACAATAAGGTCGGGCAAGTGTAAGAAATTTATGTTCCCGGAGTCACAAGAAAGTGATAATTATCCCAGATACAAGATTTATGGTATACCAGAACGTGAACCTTGGTTCATAAAGATTCCCTTGGTAATGTTTTTTTTTTGTGTGTGTGTGTTTAATCCCCGTAGTGATGATGTAAGATAAACACAGACACGCATCTCACTAACTCACTTAACATGTCATATCAGGGGTTCAAAGTTAGCACCAAGATGTCGTTTTTAAACCTTCTGTGTGTGTGTGTGTGTCTATGTTATAAAGATGTTTATTGTGTTATATCAGAGTTGATACCCTAAATTATGGTATGGTACTGAAATTTCGAGTGTAAACAATGAATACCTCATACATATACTGTACTGTATATACACATAGGGGCTCTAAAACAATAGTGTGCCATCTTTGTTCCCCTGACATGATCTCGTACAAGCTAAGACACAAGAGAGAGAGTAACCGAAGTAGCGTTGAAATATATTCTCGTTATCCTTAAGTTAAAGATGAAGAGAAGTGATGGAAGAGTCTTTGAGAATCAGGGTACATGAAACAGCCTTTACAGGAGTACAGTCGCCTTCACTTATACCTGGTACAGTGGCTGGTGCATTTTGTGAGATGTGGCAACTATGTGGAATGCTTATCTAGCATCCTTAGTCTGGCTACTATTGCGAGGTTCCTTAGGGCCATTGAGGGAGTTTTAATATGATGTAAACAAACACATCTCACAAAACGAGCCAACCACTGTATCAGGTATAAGTGCAGGCGACTTTACCTTATATTCAACTACTGGTAGACATTCTTTTTCTCTGTGTTACCATAGTGTACAGGGTATCTCATACAGGTGATGCATCCCAATAAAATCAGTCACCATATGAATGAATGATTTGGCCAAAATGCTACCGAAAACTGTGTACTACGAGTGTGGGTCTTGATGAAGGGTGATGTGACAGTACTGGGTGGTGAAGAGGCCCTTGGGTGGTGGTTGTGGTAATTACTGCGGCTACAACAACTATAGTAATTTTAAGGGCGTAGTGTATTTTAGACCACCTACCACCCATCAACTACTGGATATTAAGAGAAATACTGTATGTCTCTCCCTTGGTACACGAACACGTTCCAGTGGGCTGTTGAGCTGGGCTGAGGACGTGGTGAGGAGCTTGTCCAAGTACCGGGATGTCCTGTACTGACCTCCCTGATACTGGGGTATCCTGTACTGACGTTCCTGGTGCTGGGGTATCCTGTACAGACCTCCCTGGTACTGGGGTGTCCTGTACAGACCTCCCTGGTGTTGGGGGGGGGGGGTCCTGTACTGACCTTCCTGGTACTGGGGTGTCCTGTACTGACCTCCCTTATACTGAGGTGTCCTGTACTGACCTTCCTGGTACTGGGGTATCCTGTAATTCATCCATGGTGATACAGAAATGATGTGGAATTGATGTTTACGTTTCATGTGATAGACGACGTGCCAAAGATGATGTGTGTGTGTGTGTGTGCATAATATATATTCAGATATATATATAATGTGAACAGTCCATAAGACAAGTATTAGCACATTTTTTTTGGATGTATTCATTTCTATTGTGAATTTTTGTTGTTGTTCTCTCTGTAAACATACCACTCGAAGATATAAATATATATTTCTCCTACCTATATGTGTGTTTGTTCTTTATTTATATATAAATGCTGTACATCCTCCCTGTGAAATCTTACACATTAATGTACCCAAAATATTATCTCTATAGAAGTTATTGGTATTTATATCTATATATCTTTTTTTTTATCTGTGCTGGTACAGAAATTATAAAACCAAGAGATTGGAGATACAGTGCAGTACAGAAATTCACAAATAGTAATAAATAAGATGATGTTTGTAAGATAAAAGTTATAATTAAACATGATATTATAGAGTTTTGTTATATTCTCAGAACTTCCCTCCTTCCTTCCTTTCGTCCCTCCCTCGCTACCTCCTTCCTTCACTCCTACACTCCCTTCTACCACCTTATCTCCCTTCCTAACATCCTTCCCAACCCCTTTATTCCCTCTCTACCTCCTTCTCTCCCTTCCTAACATCCCTCCCAACCCCCTTCTTCCTACTCTCTCTTTACCTCCCTTTCAACGTCTTTCCTTCCCTACCCCCTTACTCCGTCCCTACCACCTTCTCTCCCTACCTCCTTTCCTCCATCACTCCCTTGTACTCTCTTCCGCTCTCCTCCCTACCCCCTTACTCCCTCCCAACCTCCTTCTCTCCCTACCCCTTTACTCCCTCCCAACCTCCTTCTCTCCCTACCCATTTACTCCCTCCCAACCTCCTCTCCCTACCCCCTTACTCCTTCCCTCTCTCCCTACCCCCTTACTCCTTCCCTCTCTCCTTCCCTCCCTCCCTCAGCTCAATGAGTATGGCTTCGTTCGCTTCGTGGAATGATAAGCGCCGAGTACCTAGAAAGAGAGAGAGAAATGGTACCAAAAAGAGAGAGAGAGATATTACCACGAAAAAGAGATAGTATATAAAGCACTAAGAAAGAGAAAAATAGTAAGAAAATACAGAGACAGAGAGAAATTAAAATGAAAGAGAACGAGAAAAAAGGAAGTAAAGAGAGAGAGAGAGAGATACCTTTTCAGTACCCCCAACCAAAAAAAATATAAATAAACAAAAAGAATCCACTCAATAAAATAAACAGATAAAGAAACAAAGGAAGATAAAAAATAAGGAGAAAAAACAAGATAAAATATTTATACCATTTCACGAAAGTAAACAAAGAAATTACAAAACTAAACATAGAGAAACAAAACTTGAGAGAAATTATTACTATTATTATTCAGAATATTAAAAAAAATCTCATTATGATTAAGGAATATACACAAACAAAACACAATTAAACCGAAATTAAAAACAAACAGAAAAACCAAACACTTAACTTAACCAAATTTAACCTGACCTATCCTAATTTAAACTAACTAAACCTAATTAACCCGTCCTAATTCAACCTAACCTAACTTAACCTAGGCAAACCGCAACTAACTTAACCAAATTTAATAATAATAATAATAATTAACGGTTTATTGAAAAAGTTCTGCAGCCCGGAGGCTGAAAATATACATTGGACATAAATGACTTATTACATACATTGGTGGTTTAACAAAAGCCTTCATTAAGGAAAGGTAAAGGAACATAAAGTGAACATACAGATTAATGTAGGTGTTGAACAGCAAACACGTAGTGTAGTAACTCCCTCCCAGATGGTGTTAGGAGGAACTCACGTGGTGTAGTAGTTCCCTCAGATGGTGTTATGAGGGACCTAACGTGGTGTAGTAATTCCCTCACAGATGGTGTTATGAGGGACCTCACGTGGTGTAGTAACTCCCTCACAGATGGTGTTATGAGGGGCCTGACATGTTGTAGTAATTCCCTCACAGATGGTGTTATGAGGGACTTGACGTGGTGTAGTAATTCCCTCACATATGGTGTTATGAAAGACCTGACGTGGTGTAGTAACTCCCTCACAGATGGTGTTATGAGGGGCCTGACATGTTGTAGTAATTCCCTCACAGATGGTGTTATGAGGGACTTGACGTGGTGTAGTAATTCCCTCACATATGGTGTTATGAGGGACTTCACGTGGTGTAGTAATTCCCTCACAGATGGTGTGATGAGGGACTTGACGTGGTGTAGTAATTCCCTCACATATGGTGTTATGAGGGACATGTGGTGTAGTAATTCCCTCACAGATGGTGTTATATGAGTGAGGTTTGGTCTTAGGCCTTCTTATCGTAGACGGATTAACACATCGCTGGTTGTTGTTGGGTCTCACGGGCCGTTATCACTGGGTACCTGGGACCTCACTGTGTGAAGGTTAACTTGGGTACAACTGTTACTGTTGAGTTGTTCTCACTGACTTAACCATCATGAGCTGTGTGTGACTTTCATGACCTGTGTGTGACCTTCATGACCTGTGTGTGACCTTCATGACCTGTGTGTAACCTTCATGACCTGTGTGTGACCTTCATAACCTGTGTGTGACCTTCATGACCTGCGTGTGACCTTCATGACTTGTATGTGACCTTCATGACATGTGTGTGACCTGCATGACCTGTGTGTGACCTTCATGACGTGTGTGACCTTCATGATCTGTGTGTGACCTTCATAACCTGTGTGTGACCTTCATGACCTGTGTGTGACCTTCATGACCTGTGTGTAACCTTCATGACCTGTGTGTGACCTTCATAACCTGTGTGTGACCTTCATGACCTGCGTGTGAGCTTCATGACCTGTGTGTGACCTTCATGACTTGTATGTGACCTTCATGACATGTGTGTGACCTGCATGGCCTGTGTGTGACCTTCATGACTTGTATGTGACCTTCATGACCTGTGTGTGACCTTCATGATCTGTGTGTGACCTTCATAACCTCAAGTGTGAGCTTCATGACCTGTGTGTGACCTGCATGGCCTGTGTGTGACCTTCATGACTTGTATGCTGACCTGCATGGCCTGTGTGTGACCTTCATGACTTGTATGTGACCTTCATGACCTGTGTGAGCTTCATGACCTGTGTGACCTTTATGACCTTCATGACTAATGCGTGACCTTCATGAGCCTGTATTAGCTGACCTTCACTTAACCTGTGTGTGACCTTCATAACCTGTGTGTGACCTTCATGATCTGTGTGTAATCTTCATGACCTGTGTGTGACCTTCATGACCTGTGTGTGACCTTCATAACCCGTGTGTGACCTTCATGACCTGTGTGTGACCTTCATGACCGGTGCTTGACCTTCACCAACCTGTATGTGACCTCTATGACCTGTGTGTGACCTTCATGATCTGTGTGTGACCTTCATAACCCCGTGTGTGGCCTTCATATACAATGTGTGACCTTCATGACCGGTGTATGACCTTCATGACCTGTATGTGACCGCTATGACCTGTGTGCTGACCCCTTCATGACCTGTGTGTGACCTTCACTTAACCCGTGTGTGAAGCCTTCATGTCCTGTGTGGCCTTCATGACCTGTGTGCTTGACCTTCATGACCTGTGTGTGACCTCTATGACCTGTGTGTGACCTTCACGGCCTGTGTGTGACCTTCATAACCTGTGTGTGACCTTCATAACCTGTGTGTGACCTTCATGACCTGTGTGTGACCTTCATGACCTGTGTGACCTTCATGACCTGCATGACCTGTGCATGACCTTCATGACCTGTAAGTGACCTGCATGACCCCAGTAGAGCATAACAGGCTGGACCTTCAAGTGTTGTTTTGATCAATCGCGGTTTGACCACGTAAGAGGACAGACGTGTGCCCATAGGTGCTCCTGTTCTCCAGATCGTCACACAAAGGCCATCTCAGCCTCTACCTACCCCTTCGCCGGCAAGTATTGCCAGCGATGGGGGGTCAACGTAAGCGCCCCAGAGGAGGCGTCCCCTCTCTCATGGATACAGACATTTCTGAGACGGATAGTCATAGTACATCCCACACCCTGCAAGAGTCAGACCTCAGTGATAGTGACAGTAACAGTAATGTTTCTATGAGAAACACTTGCCAGAGTGGCAACACCAATGCCAAGGGCAGCGACTCTCCCCTCGACTCCCACCCCTCTGCCAACCAACCAAGTAAATTGCATCTGCACTTCCCCAAGGACTTACTGAAAACCGTCGAGGACCGGTTTAATTGGACAACAAAGTATTGGAGACAACACGGTCTCACCATTTAATTCCGAAAAGGTAAGAACCGTAACTTTATCAAGTGTCAGACACACCAAAGGTCTATGAAACACTCAGTACTGTTGGGTTTGATGGGGTTGTCCTCGTGCCTCCACCTGCTGACGCAGCAGAATGTTGCCACATCCTAGTTAAACAGTTCCCCCTATTCGCTGAAGTCGAAGATGCTCGTAACTTTAATCCACGTATAATCAGAATACGTCGACACTACCGAGGGAAGACCCCATAAGCAGCTATCATAGTTAAATGGAAGGGGATAGAGTGCCCAACCACTGTTGATGCCCACCCAGTCCTCCCTCCACTGTACGCTGAATCATATCACCCCGGGCCTGCTTTTTGTGTCATCTGCTCCCATTGGGGGTCCCACCTTCACCACCTGCTGCCGATGTGATCATCCCAGATGTCGCTTCTGTTCACGTAACCATCACTCCTCCGTCTGTGCCCAAAAAACCAAAGACCACCTCAATGGGGTTGGTGTGGGCTATGTTGTTGACTCCAGGTGTTGTAATTGTGGTGGCTGGCACAATGCTGACTCACGACAATGCCCCAAGCGTCCGTCTGTCCCAGGAGAAAAGCCTCCCCGAAGGCTGCGTCAATCTCAACCTCTCCCCCAGCCTATCGAGCCTTCTTCAACAACACCTGCCCCAGCCTGGCCTCACCTGGCTGCAACACAGCAGTCCCGGCCATCTCCTAACTCAACTACAACTGGGCCTCCTCTCCATCTTTACTCTGATGCTGTTAGGCCTTGTGCCCCCACTGGTGCCCCCCCCCACAACCCCCCTCCAGTGACACGACACAGATCATATCCCTCTTTCACGAATTTACCAACCGTATTGAAAGACTCTTTGATACACTCTGTACCGCCATCTCCGACCTACACAGACTACCCCTGCCTCCAGCTGCTACCCAGTCACCTCCCTCTTCTGGTTTGACAC